TTCTTTTTTTTTTTTTTTTGAATTGTTGTTGATTTTGTTTCTTATTAGCACGTTTTATATTTGGCATAAAACTGTACAATTTTGTTACAAAAATTAATGCGATTCATGTGGAAAGAAAATCCAATCTTATTGATTAAATTGCACTATTAAACTTCCTAATATTATTTGTCGAACTTATTACTAATAGTAAGTCAAAAGGTTTGACTCATCTTTTTTATGAAGTTTCCACAAATGATTTTTTGACCATCCTTTTTCAATATATATAGATTTGTTGTGCTATATACATTATTATCTCGGATGATTATAGCCACATCGATACTTCAGTGAGAAAAAATTTGTAGTAAAACGAATTTAATAAAAAGTAAACTCTAATTTTCCTCTCGATTAGCTAATTTTGTTCGTTTAGATAGTTATATTTATTTTTTAAATGAACAGAGGAAGTCAAAAAAGATTTTAACCAGCTTTTTACAACTTTCCACAACTAATTTATTTACCAACATCTTCAATATATGTAGATATTAATATTTATTTTTTAAATGAACATATTTTTACTAAATTATATAGACTACAATAACTTTTATCTATCAAAGAACATATTTTACCTAAAATTATATAGACTACAATAACTTTTATCATTAATTATATAACATACACAACCGAGATCATACCTCGAACCATTGTCACCGAGCCCATGCAGCCAAACTATAGTAGCCTGGTGTTTCCCTTTAAGCTTAACCACATATAAGTCCTCCCAAATTCTAATGTTCGACTTGTTCTACTCCCCGAAATACATATACACACATGAAGTCCTCCAATTAATCCCCTCAGGTTTTTTAAATTGGTTTCCAAAAGAGGGAAGTCAAAAAGGATTTTGACCAGCTTTATAACTTTTCACAATTGATTTTTTTACCTCTTTCTTTCAATATATATAGACTAGTGTATACCCTGTGCGATGCACGGAAACAATATTAAATTAACAATATTATAAATAAACCTCGAGTTTAAGTCACTCAATTATCGAAGTGGAAATTACTATTGATCCTATTTAATAAGAAGAAGCAAAAAAAATAATTATAAATTAAAGAGGAAGATAAACAATACTTAATAATTATAAATTAAAGATTCGTTCAAACAATGTAAAATTATTTTGTATAAGATAATATAAAAAAATTTGATTATACACCATTTTAAAATTATTATTATACTTTTTTGTATGATTAGCTTATAATATGTAAAAATATTAGTAATTAGACCGATAAAAATTAGCTTCTTAAAGTAGATAATAGATTTTCAGTAGTAATTATGAATTGATTTCTATTTTATTTTATTTTTTCTTTTTAATGATAATGGATTTCTAGTAGTAATTATGAATTGGTTTCTATTTTATTTTATTTTTTTATATCTGTATAGATAAGGGATGAAATTTTTTAAACACGGGAGACGTATGCAATGGGATTTTGTAACAGAAGTGATAAGCGTGTAGATTTATACTAAAAATAGGAAAAAGAAAAACAAATATTTATTGTCAAACAACGGTTTTAATAAACTAGAAAAAATGAGCCGATTTTTTTGCCTATTTAGATTTGTCCAACAATTACTATATTAGGATATATTTATTGATTTTGGCGGGAAAAAGTTTTTACATTTGTAAAAAGGTTATTCTTTTTATATAATGATAGATTCCATATAAATCTATTTATTATCTTCTTTGTATATAATTTTACTTTACAAATTTTGTGCGTATTTTAAATAAAAATAGTATAAATAAATTAATGATGTATATAGATTAGTTTTTATAATTTAAAATAATATTATTAATTCACTTAGTTATTTATTAAAAATTATTATATATTTTGTTATTTATTTATTTTTCTTACTTCAACAAAATATATACTTTTTTGTTTTATTTTTTATTGTACATTTAATTATTTTATCAATCACCCGCGTCTTGTTCTGGTTTAAATAAAATTGAAAATGAAAATAACATGATACTGTCAAAGATATTCTAGTCTAAATAAAATTGAAAATAACAGGATACTGCGAAAAGAATCAAAGATCCCTTTTCCATTTAAGTTGGCCGGCCCCACAGTAGCTGCTGGTCAAAACTCGAAAGGATACACAGAACAGCAAACACCGACTTTCACAGGCCGTGCCGCCGCCGCCGCCACCACCACCACCACCACCACCACCTACGGCGTAGCTTCCACCAACTCCAATTCCGAATCCTTAAGGATCGTTTAAGATATACCCAAGCGTACATTCAGTCCGATATACGGACTGATCTACATGGAGTCAAGGTCGGAGCTATTGAGATGGGTGGAGCAAGCCTCGGGGGTGAAGTTGGGCGATGAGACGGCTATGGTGGTTCTGGCTACATCGTTGGCCTTGGTTTTCGGCGTCCTGGTGTTCCTTTTGAAAAAATCGAGTGATAATCGGGGCAAAGAGGTGAAGCCGCTCGTTGTCCCCAAAGCGCTGTCGGTTAAGGATGAGGAGGAGGAAGATATCGAGCCTGACAAGGCGAAGGTCACCGTATTTTTTGGAACGCAGACTGGCACGGCTGAGGGTTTTGCCAAGGTAGTCTCTTGTTATTTGCTGATTTTTTTTTTTTTTTTGNTGAATTGATAACTGAGTACTCTTAGCTAGCTGCTTGTCAATGATCTGTCATGTCATAAGTAACTAAGTACTTTTGAACTTTTATTTGCTGCTGTGGAATACGTAATTTTGGAACTTCGTAGAAATGCTGTATATGTTGGTTTAGTTGATCTGCTGATTTCTTGTTTGGATTGAAGTTTGCTCACTTCTTGTTGGAATGAGTCCCCCTTCAAGTTACTTTTGATTTTGGATAATGCTTGAACTTCTATTTACTGTTATTTGTTTCCTATCGAAAGTGATCCGATGGGGGAGGATTTTAATGGCATCCAACATTTCCAGGGTGTTATTTGTTTGGGAATGAGTGCTTTTATTCCAAAATGAGTTGAAAAGTGTGCTGTTGGATTTTGAAACTTTTAGCGAAAATGGTTATACGTGATGTTGTCGACGTCTATTCATAGGCCAACATGAATAAACCTACAAGTTGCAGTGAAGGATTNTTCATGGATTGGTGCCAAAATTAATCTCATACGACAAGAATCCAAACATGTCATAGTTATCATTCCAGATGCACAACAATTTGATGAATGGAAATTCGAAAGCAATGTCATTATGACATATATCTGTATTGGAATATTGATAAACTTACTGTCATATGCTGAGAATATCTCACAACTAAAATTGTGTCTGTTCCATTGATAAAATTTGTGAGCGTCAATCTTTCTAAATCGCATGATATGCTTGTGTAGGCTTTAGCAGAGGAGATCAAAGCAAGATACGAGAAGACAGTTATTAAAGTTGTGGACTTGGTATGATTCATGGAACCTCCCACTGTGCGAAAAAGTGCTTTCTCTTTCAAGTGATAGAGTTTACTTCTCTTTTCTTTCTATCCCTATTAGGATGATTATGCTGCAGATGATGATCAATATGAGAGAAAGCTCAAGAAAGAGACACTAGCTTTTTTCATGGTTGCAACGTAAGTTATAATCTTTTCCTTGAGCCCGTTTTCTTTGCTTGAACTAACTCCGAAATTTCGGGGTGCTTGATCAGTTATGGAGATGGCGAGCCAACTGATAATGCTGCTAGATTTTATAAATGGTTCACTGAGGTTTGTTTTCATGATTGTATTGATTGTTTGTGCCCTCCTGTCAATCTTTCCTCTAAATGCGCACCTTTTATGATTTAGGGCAAAGAAAGAGAACCTTGGCTTCAGCAGCTTTCCTATGGAGTATTTGGTTTAGGTAACCGCCAATATGAACATTTCAACAAGGTATACGCTTGGCATCTGTATTTATCTCCATTATTGGTTCACCATACACAATAATTATTTCTCCATTTTTTGGATATCATTATGCTACACTTCATGGTCCTGGAGCTTGTTAATATATATCAATTATCTATTCTTTTGATTTGATAAAATTTTACGTTTTTATGAACCAGATTGGGATGGAAATTGACGAAAAACTAAGTGAACAAGGTAGACTTGGCATATTTTATTTGTGGCGTTTTATTCCCCTGTTTCATCTCTTCGCTTACTTATGCATGCAATCCTTAACTGTTGAAGCATTGCTAGACCTTAAGTTGCACCTTTATTACTTATTAGTCAATGGTCTCATATTTTTGTTGATGTACTCCAACCCCAAATTTGTATCAACTGCAATTTGCCTACTGGTTATTTCATCTTATTGGTTAGGTGCAACTGCCTTTTGTATGTCAGGTGCAAAACGTATTGTAACATTAGGTCTAGGAGACGACGATCAATGCATTGAAGATGATTTCTCTGCTTGGTATGTCGTATGCTTGCCTATCATCTATATCTTTTACAGTTCTGAACAATTATGTTTTGCTTGACCGCTGTCTATTCCTTTTTTTTTTTTTTTTTTTTTTTTTTCATCAATTAGTC